GGGGGAGCGCGGCTGCTGTCGGTCCGGGGGCGAACCGGAGGGTCCCTGTGCAAACGTGCTGATGGCCTTGCTCTGCGGTCCAGAGCCGGCCAGGAGAACCAAGAGGGTAAGAGATGCGGAGCTGGGCGCCTGGTCCCCCTCCCTCCTCTTTCTGCTCTCTTTTTTTTTTAATATTTCTTTTTTTTTTTTTTTGCCTAACTCCCTGCATAGTAAATCTCACGGGGTTTGGGTTTTGGCGTGCAAAGCCAAGAAAGGGAGAGAAGCCTTCCCCCTCGGACACCTTCCAGTGCAGACCCTCGGGTGGAGGGGCCACCAGGGCTGGTGGAGAGGAGTGATTGTCTGTGGCCAATGGCCTTGGCCCTGTCGCCGGCTTGGCCTCTCCCCGCTGCTTCCACGCGGGGACCGGAGTTAGGGAAGGCTTCGGACATGTCTGACGGACTCGGCGGATGGGTCAACAGTCTGTGGCCTCAGGGAGGGGAGGGAAGTGAGGACTTGGGGGGAAAACGGGATGAAAAGAAATCCAAGAAGCAGAACAACTCTTCAAACGGATGAGCACCGAGACAAGGTGGGAAGCGGGATGTGCCATCTCTGTCCCATAATCCATCTTCAATATGAAGATGTGTTGCTGCCTCGCCGCTCCAGGACACGGGACAAAAAGCTGGGCTCCCTCTCGGTGCCTCCGATCCAGGGAGGGGTGGCCCGTCCTGTCCTGTCCCGTCCCATCCCAGGCGACCGTCCGAGGCAGAGGAGCGCCATGTGGAGGGGGAATCGGGAAGGCGGGCTGCACCCCAAACTGAACCTGGTTGGCAGGTTCCCTCGGTCCGTTCCAATGCAGAGTCCCCTGCGGTCAAACCTGCACTGGGAGCGTCTGGTTCATCTGCAGCCTCATGTCCTGAATGCTGCTCAGGATCTTCTTCTGGTGCCCTGCTAGCGTCACACCTATCCTCAACAGGTCTCTGCAAGAAGAAGGTGAAAACTCAGCCCCCTGCCAGCAGCAATACCAGCACGTGGCCCTGCCCCATGTAGCTGCTGTCAAAGGACCCATCCATCTTTGTTACAGCCCTTTGCCAAGCTCCCGTGTCCCTCTAACACCACAGTGTGTCTAACACCACTGGATGCTGAATCCCAGATCTTAACTCACTTGGTAAAACCCAATGCACAACTCAGCCCTCCAGATGCTCAGATGGGGGGAGCTGGCTGCTGGAGAGGCGAGGGACGAGGGACAACATGCAGCAGCCTCAGACTCAGCCTCCTCCCTCCTCCACAGGCAGGGACTTACTCTGCAGTCATCTGTGCCACCAGGTCAAAGGAGGCAAAGCCGGCATTGACAAAGTTCTCCTTGTACCGTCCCATTTTGATAGCATCCAGCCAGTCTCCCACAGTGGTGAAGGTGGTGTAATCTGGGACGGTGCGGTCCAGGAGTGGCTGGGAGACGCTGGAAGGCAAGAGAGCCACAGGTCACAGAGAGCAGGAGACAGGGAGGTCTAACTGGAATCGGGGGAGATTTCTTATCCCTGCCTTCCCACATCTCTAGTCCCAACCACTCCAGCGTTCCCCAGGCTTGAGTGAAGTCCTGGCTGGAGACGGTGATGCCACTGACCCAGACTGGACGCTGGCGATGACTTTCAGGCTGGCAGCGTTACGGATGAGCTTGTCCAGCGTGTTGACAATCTGTGCAAACTTGGGCCGCAGGTTGCGGTCCCGCACCCAGCAGTCCAGCATCAGCTGGTGCAGAGCCGTGGGGCAGTCCATGGGAGGTGGCAGGCGGTAATCCTGCTCCACTGCGTTGATCACCTGTGAAGAGACACGCAGAGGAAGGCTGTGAGCCACCTGGGCTCCCATGGGCAGCCCACATCTCCCTGCTCCCCAAGGAGCACTTACATCCTGGTTGGACATGTCCCAGTAGGGTCGCTCCCCGTAGGACATCACTTCCCACATGACGATGCCGTAGCTCCACACATCGCTGGCCGAAGTGAACTTGCGGTAGGCAATGGCCTCGGGAGCCGTCCATCTGATGGGGATCTTGCCCCCCTGCGGGGATACACAGCTCCATTATTTAGCACGTACCTGAGGCGTCTCCCCCCATCGCCAGATCGGTGGCTCCCCCACGAGTGTCTCATACCAGGGAGCTGGTGTAGGTGGGGTCAGCTGGGTCGTCCTCCAGAAAGCGAGAGAGCCCGAAGTCAGACACTTTGCAGACCAAGTTGCTGTTGACCAGGATGTTGCGGGCGGCCAGATCCCGGTGCACATAGTTCATCTCCGAAAGATACTTCATGCCGGCGGCGATGCCTCGCAGCATTCCCACCAGCTGGATGACTGTGAACTGCCCATCGTTCAGCTGCCAGAGGAGAGATCAGAGGGGTTTGCAACACCCCAAATGGACTAGGGAAGGATCCCAGTTTACTACCACCACCCTCCTCCTTCCTAGAGCCGCCCTTCTTCCCCCAGTCCACGTTGTCTATGCGCAGCTGAGCCCCGGAGAAGCCAGCACGACAATGCAGAGGGGTGGTGCAGGAGGGCTTGGAGCTGCAGTCCCTCATGCACTGAAGTCCCACCCTAGGGCAGGACAGGATGGATGCTCACCCGGAGGAAGGAGTCAAGTGCACAGTTCTCCATGAACTCCGTGATGATCATGACGGGGCGGCTCTTGGTCACCACACCCTCCAGGTGGATGATGTTGGGGTGGTCGAACTGGCCCATGATGCTGGCCTCACTCAGGAAGTCCCGCCGCTGCCGCTCCGTGTAGCCTACCTTCAGTGTCTTGATGGCCACGAAGATCTCGCGGCGGCCGGGCAGCTTCAGGCGCCCGCGGGACACCTCGCCGAACTCCCCTGCCACGGGGAAGGGGAGAAGGGGCAGCACGGTGAGCCGCGCACCGGGGTGGGAGGCAGCAGTCTCAGCAGGCGCTGTGCCCAGCCCCAGGACTTGCCTGCTCCGATGACCTCCTCGATTTTGACACAGGAGATGTCAATCTCTTTGGCGAATTCCCGGACGGCTTCGTTGGGGTCCTCGTATGTGAAGGGGTCAATGTAGACCTTCATCCCAGGGGTGACTGCAAGGGCAGGAGTTGTCACCACGAGGGACACAACACAGGTGACAGATGCTGAGCCAGCTCAGCTGTCAGCCCACCACTCCTGGTCCCTGGCTAGTGACGGCCACCCCTCCACTCACGCATGGCACAGGAATTGGGAGAGGACAGGCAGAGCCCGTTTGCTGGGCTCTCACACTCACCATATTGCTGCAGCTTCTCTGTGTACTCGGGGTCCGCGCTGTTGCGCTGCTTCCTGCCCAAAGGAGACGAGAGGAGGTGTTCAGTAACCATCCCTTTCCTGATGGGGCAAAGACATTCACTGCCAGCTTCCAAATCCCAGCACAGACAGCCGATGCCAGAGAGCCTCCCCTCTGGCAGCGTGCGAGCAGAGCCACCACTCCACCCGAGGTGCAATGGGAGAGGATGGCCTAGTTGTGCTGAGAGGATGGCAGGAGCCTGGGCAGGGCCCCAGCTGGTGCTGGGGAAGCAGAGATGCACAGCCCTCTCACAGGACCAGAGCCTCAGTACCCACGCGTGGCAGGTCCAGCTCTCAGACTGGAGCTGCCAGAGCTCTAACCAAGGGCAAGGGGGAAAGCTCTAGGGCAGACATGAACACCCCCTAAGCCCAGCTCTGAACTCCTCCTTCCTGTAAGGCCAGTACCTGAAGCAGACGATAGCAATGATCACCACCACGATGACAAACAGCAGCCCTGCAGTGGCCGAACCCACGATCAGAGGCAGCTCCTGGAAAGTCTTGCTGGTGGAGCCTGATGGAGGGAGAGGCAGGAATTAAAGTTGAGCTGGGGAAGGGCACATGTAGTGGGGCTGTGGGATAGAGGCAGCCCAGTCCTGGCACTTACCGTCCTCCGCAGTGGTCTGGAACTCGGTGGGGAGGCTGTAGCGGCCGTACCCAGCCACCGTGCGTGCCCGGACCTGCACCATGTACCGAGCGTTGGCCTTCAGCCCGTCCAGCCGCACCGAGTTCTTCTGGCTGGTGACAGTGTTGGGGATGCCATCACTCTGGCCTTGCTGTAG